TGCCCAAACTGCAACCCAAAACCCACTTATGCATCGTCGGGTGCTGGGTGGGTGTGGCCCATTGTCTGGGTGTGGCTGCGGTGGTAACAGCAGACTGGATGGGACTAAAAAGTTCAATCAATCAATTCCAACTTTGCAAGATCTTTTTTTTCCCTGCAAGAAGTTGAAATTGACTGATTGATTGAACCTTTTTTTTTTTGTACACGGCGGCGGAGGCCTAAAGCGGAAAGGTTTTATAAAACCCAGCTGAAGGCCTAGGACTGGGGCGACGACGCGCGTGCCCACAGAGAGGGCTCTGAGTGCCGCCTCTGGCACCCGTGCCATAGGTTCGCCACCACTGGTTTAGGCTAATTCGTCCAAGACTCTCACCCATTATGGCTTAGTGCACTTGAGTTGTGTTTAACTGAACAAACCTCATTTAAGCACAGAACTCTAATATGATGTAGTTACCCATTTTAAAATTATTTTCATTGGTTCAACTAGGGAAAGCCAGTCAGAAAACCCATTTCATTTTAAGATATTGAATCTTGTAAGGTTTCAGAATCTTTGCATAATCCACCTGCAAACATTATACAGTACCTGAAGTATTCCAAGACATAAAAATAATGATTTTTCTGAGTTGTCTATTACAAAGAAAATGATAAATGAACACTACCTGCACATCCCAGGATTTGATAGGTTCCCCATCCTTCATGCAACAAGACTGCTTCAGGCAATAAGAAGCATTCTTGGCCAGTAGATCCCAAGCTTCTCCACTGGCTTTGGCCACATTTGCTGTTGGATCTGCTGGATCGATAATCACTGGCCTGCAATAAATATGCATATTTTTTTTAAAAAAAATTATAAAGTGTTTCATTAAACTCACAGGAGAAATGCACAGCTAGTTATCACAAGAAATAAAAAAAAATATGTTACTCCAGTACAACTCTTCTACCTCTTTCTTGTATTGGAGCTATCAGAAAAGCAGTTTTCTCCAAATGTGAAAGAGTAATAAGTATATTTTTCTTGCCCCAAAATATTCAAGTACAATGGAAGAATGCCAGAACATGTAGGCTAAATAAGACAATTCAGGAGAAATACAGTCTGATTATCACTTTACACAATTGAATGAAAGCTTATGTAAGAAAAGACAACAAGAAAGAAGTAATATCCTGGCTTCCGGTTTGCCGAGGCAGCTGCCATGGACATCTGGGAGGCGAGCTCCGTCTTCCGCGTCCAGTTTCGCATTGCTGGGGGACCCTGGAAAGGGTTGAAAGTCGCCCTGTAGGGGCCACCAGCAAGGAGGGGATCCCCATGAGCGCAGAAGAGTGGTAGCTCTTCCGTTTGATCTGGGGCAGCCCTCCAAACCAGTGGACAAAAGACCAGCCATAGAAATATGGCTCGTCACTAGGCTACAGACAGCCGAAGTCACACTTACCATCAGGCAACTTTAAAGCAGCACAGAAGACACAGGGTGAGATCTACTTCTCTTAAATCCTAACTATCTTTTTTACCTGCATAAGCTGCTTAAGTACTTTCCCCTCTGTGGAGAGGGAAGGGAGATTTTACCCCTCCCTCTAAAAACAGCAGCGACTGACTATCCAGGGGAGTTTAAAAACATTGCAAGAATAACTTGATCCTAATTGGAATTTTACTTCTTAAAGTTTGTGGACTAAAAGACTTTCTATTTTTACTGAAGATCTGGGTTTTTACTTATAAAAAAGAAGTAAAACTGAAAAGATTATAAAAACTTTGGACCTAAAGGAAAAAATTAAATATAGGGGCAACATCCTGTGGCTAAACCTGATATTACAACCTGTTATTGTTTAAAAGAGACTTGGCTGGCAGCCTAGACAAATAGATAAGACTTATAACCTTGAGATATGAGCTGTGAAACCCAGCTGTGTTCCATACTTACTGAATTTTTTTTATATTCTCTGATTGCAAAGCTATTAACATAATACATTACTAAGAGAATATGTAGGAAGATCAGGAATAGATTCTTTTTATGCTGAAAGCAATTTACCAAACTATTCTTACAGCTACTGATGAAATAAGAAAGGAATGGGATGTCAGCCCAGATAGACAAACTCAAATTTTGATTACAACTGAAAAATTAACTATACAGAATATAACAGAAAAAGTGGACCAATTAAATACTATGACAGAGGATTCAACTGATCAACAAATACAATCAATGGAAAACCCAGAAAAGGGACTGACAATATGAAAAAGGGAAAAGATTTTTTACATAAATCAGAAGAAACCTGACAATCAAGAAGAACAACAGACTTCCGGTGGCAGGCGACCTCGTCGGACGCAGCTATAGCTGCCTCCCGCCTGTTTTTGCGTAAAAGCCGTTTTGACAGCTAGCATCAGCTGTCAAACGGCTTGATACCCTTCCCCTGGGCATAAGGGGATAGGTGAGCTGCCCGGGGTAGGAGTTGAGTTCCCGAGTCGTCCCTTGTGGACGATGTAGGTGAGAACACCTCCGGAGCCCCGGGCTTCTCCGCGATCCAGGACGCCTTCGCCTTAGCGAAGCTAGAAGCCGCCACCACTGCTGCAACTTAAAGTGAACTGTGAGTTTTTCTTGTAAGCAGACGAACCGACCCTGGAAGTTTGCTTCTTATTTTGGACTCTACTCTAACTTGGATAATAAGTTCTTCCCTATACTTGAGGTGGATTGAGGGAAAGTGAACTTAAAATGGCGATGGATTGATACTTTTCAGCAAGAAGTGAAAGTGATTTCCGGT